GGCGACCAGGCAAAGGTCGGCGGGCGGGGGTTGTTATTGCCTTGTGCGTGCTCCCCTGCCCGGGCGTCAGCTGGGCCGTTCCGCTAACCCCAGCGTCACCCTCCCCTCCGGTCTCTCCCCTCCCCTCCGCCCCTCGTCAGCAGGCCAGGCACGCGGCCGTCGCGCGAGGGGAGGCACACCGGGACACCCGCTGATACAGCGACCCCTTTGGCCTGGAGAAATGGGTCGCCTGGGTCAGAAGGGGCCCGCTGGTCGGACCGGGGCGCGCCGTCACGCGACGCTGCGGTGGCGCCGCAGGATCCAGCCCTGAGCATGGCGGGCACGTGGGGCGGCGCGCGGCTGAGCCATTAGCAGCGAGCGCGCCGCGCGCGCCGCAAGCCGCTGTGGCCTTGGCAAACGCTGACCGGGCACAGCGTACGTGCTACGGGGGCTGCAGCTGTGCAGCCGGCCAGACGCCCGCCCTGGAATCCGGTCCGCTATCGCTCCAATGGAACGGGAGCATCGGATTCGGTGTACACGTACGCGCTGCGCTGCGGCGAATGCGCCGTGCCCTGGTGATCGGATTAAGTCAGCACTAATCTACACCCTTGTGCCGGTAACGGAACCTAGTGATTCAGTTTGCATGTCAGGGGCGGTGCAGGCGGCAGAAATGAAACGGAAAGCGTGCCTGGGTAATTATTATAATGCAGACGCTTGACACCCGTGTAAATGAAAGTTAATCATGCCTATCGTTGAGTTGTGCAATCTTCTCATGTATGCATGAAGCCCCAACATGCTGAATCGAGACTATGATATAGTGTGTTTTATTGTATCGTTCCAACCCTAAATCTTTCCGGGCTTCTTTTTGTTTCTGGCCTCAGGACTAAGCCTTCACAATGGAAATAAGTGGAAGGCAAGGAAGATCCGTGCCGACAGCTGGTCGGCGCCCCTGCTTTCCGATTCACCCACCGTTGGCGGAGCGGGTTTGACTCACTGTAGACACTCACTGTTTGCCCCCTGACTGGGATGGCCTGCGACCGTCGGCAGCATTTGCCTTAAGATCAGATGGCATGGGACAGGACGGACCGCGCCGAACATTACGACACGGGACGCATTCGCCACCCACTTCTGCTGTTGACTCGTAATGCCATGATGGGATGGTTTGTCAGGGCTGACACAACAGACACCGCTTGAGGGGGCGCTGATCCCGGATATCTATCCAACCAAAAGGTTCCCATTCGGACTAGAAACAAAGTGACCTCAGTCAGTAACCAGAGATGACAACCATCCCGTCCCGAACCAGCAAGACCGCACGGCACGTCACTCGCCACCACTGGAAGAGAGACGCCGCGGTCCGCCAGACCACGGGAGCTTATCCCACCAGCCCCAAAATGCCTTCTGTGGACTTCACCCCGCTCTCAGACATACCCCGCTCACCAGCACATTATGTCCTCCGCCTGCCGACCACCCTGCCTACCTTTAGACATAGCAGCCCACGCGCCACACTTCAAACAACGGCAAACTCGCTTCTCTGGACGGGCTCGGACGGCCAGAGCATAGCGAGAACAGAGACCTCTACGCATTTCGGTCATCACCGACAACCACAATAGGTGTTGCCGCTTTGCTGGTACCAAATACGTATCAAGTTGTATAAAATCTGTGTTACAGTCTTCAGCACGGAACGTTAACTTTCAATGAAAATACCACATGCTTACTACTTTATTAGAGAGTGGGGTATGATTACTATGTGTAACTGCGGCTTTGTTTACACTGTATTTAAAGCGCAACAGTGACGTAGCACACTACCTCAAAACGTCGAAGGAGAGAGCGGCCTGCCAACAGGCTGAGGGTTCTGGATTGCGAGGCGAGTTCAGTACCGCAGCAGGTAAAACCTTGCACTAACAAATGTATGCTGAATACGGAACGGGATGACATAAAAGTGGTGTAGAACTTAAGTTTGCATTTATTCTTTCCTACATACACAACGACACCAGCGAGTTACGTCACGAGCGTCATGTTGTATTTTTCTTAGCTGTCCAGATGCATTGGTTACATATTTACATAATAGATGATGTTATTTCCCATCAATCTTGTATTCTGCCTTCGACTTGAGCGCTAAAACTCCTAATTTGCCCTTGAAAACTTCGAAAAACGCAAGACAAAAACCGATCATTGAAAACCAAGCACACCGCGGTGCCGCTTCCACAAGTCACGGTTGTGAGTTCGAAACAGAAACACCATTTGGTCAGCTCGCTGTCACTGATAGGCGAGAGCTGTGTATCGAGCGATGTGCAGAAGTTATAGGCCATACGCTCAATACAACCCCGCAACCGGAGTCATCGTGGAAGTCTACTCACCGTAGCCACAGCTACCAACTGCCTAACCCAATGGTCGCTACAGAGGGTATAAGTTGCCACGACTACTTTTTTACTGCTCCTGACATGACGCCAATTGGGAGGCAGCGGTGTTTTGACCTGTGAGAGGACTGGTCTGCGTAGGTCGGTAGGTTCTTACGCTTCGGCGGCAGTGGTGTTTTGAGATGTGAGAGGACTGGTCTGCGTAGGTCGGTAGGTTCTTATGCTTCGGCGGCAGTGGTGTTTTGAGATGTGAGAGGACTGGTCTGTGTAGGTCGGTAGGTTCCTCCGCTTCGGCGGCAGTGGTGTTTTGAGATCTGAGAGGACTGGTCTGCGTGGGTCGGGAGGCTCTTACCCTTAGGCGGCAGTGGCGTTCTGATGTGCGAGAGGAGTGGCCTGTGTAGGTGGGTTTTCACTCTTAGGTGACAGCGGTGTTCTGAGGTGCGAGATGACTGGTCTGTGTACGTTGGCAGGTTCTCACTTTTTGGTAATTCGTTGCCCCAGCATCCACCTCTCGTGAAAAACAATGTGTTCTTGTTGGATTAGCTTGTACACAATTTGACGCTCTTTCTTGCTTCGCATTGCTTGCGAAATTTATCAAACAGGTACACCATATTTCTGGCATCGCTCTGTGGACATTCACGGTTTGTGGACACCATAAAGTCCATGCGTGCGACCATGATGGAATGATTACACAAGTTTGTCATAACACCCCACGAAAGACAGAAGGTTCAAACGCTTCTATAAGCTGCTTCTCAGCTCTCTTCGCTAATCACTGACATCTGCTAGTGCGTGGTATTCATGGTCAGACACTGCCACAGAATGACCTGATGGGGTCATTGGTGCATACGTAAACACATTCACTGTGGTATTCGTTCTCGCGATCCATGATTCGGAAATATTTGTTCTCAACACCCAACAAGCATAACCTGTTTTCAGACAGACATCGACTTAATAGGACTCCCATGGAAAGAGCTGTCAATGATAAGGCATTTCTTGAAGACAGGATGGATGGCGCGGGAGGGTTGAATGCCGACACTTCGCTCTACCTAATGCCAGCCCGACAGCTTACAAACCTTCTTGAAAAATTCACATACAAAGGTCACGGTTGCCACCATAAGCGCAACCATACCTGGTGTCGGTGGGTGTGAACCCTATAACGGCCGGACCTCAGGAACGTTAAGGCTGACTGGACTACTTTTCGTGCTTTGATCACATAAAGTGGCACCAAAAGAGAAATGGACCCATGAACATTTCTGTAGTGATAAAGCCCATGGTCCTCGATACTCACACCAGTTAAAACGCAAGAAATCTGTCCTTGGTCCCAGATCGCCCAAACCAGTACTAGTCGCACCATGATCTTGTCAACTGGACAAGCTCCATGCGACACATCGTGTTTTCAGACTCTGAATGAGAAATGAGAGATTGTTCGAAAGTTGGCCTTCTAACACTCATTTTCATTCATTCAAATCTTTCCATCATATTCGAACCGCAACGGTAGAGTGTCGTACTGAACACCCAACATGAAAGCTAGCAGCACGAGGAAAATACATGTGATGCTCGGTTTTCTCCCATTAAAACGATTGTACTTTCTGGATATACAGCTACATCGCGGTCACCCCAAAAAGTAAGACATTGGATCTACGGCGTTGTAAAGAATTAGCCCCACACGGCACTGCATCAAACAACCTTTTTTGGGAATGTTTCGCCTCTGCCCAGTAACATGAGGTTTTCTGTCGGTGATCAGGACGTGCATGAGACCGTTTGGTTCGGTTTCAATCATCAGGTTTGGCACCCACACCCGCCGCGTGCGCATAGACATCACCCGCGTGGACATCCCCCCTGCGAAGACGACCAAACTGCACTCCTGTCAGACCAGCCCGGATGCCTGCTGTCACGAAGGTTCGGTTACGCTCCTGTTTGTGTGCTTGCAGTGTGCGCAGGCGTGTTCTTCTCGATCCTTGCACTTTCGGCGCATTCCGTTCAGTGCAACTTACTACAGGGCATCGTGCAGATAACACAAAATCCAGCTTCCAACCAAAGGATGGTCGGATTTTGTTAGAATTTGTGGAATGAATACCGCGCACGGCTGCGGGGTGATGCTGGAGCGTGGATTCATATGCGACGCTCCAAACCACAACAGAAGACGCCGGGCAGAGTGTCTTCGACCTAACTCCGCCGGAAAATTTATACAAAGATGGAGACCGAGCCCTGTACGGACGGAGCAGGAATCAAATTCTCGAGAAACAAGTCAGTTAGGCCACAGTAAAACTAGAGGCGGAATGGGGATTTATAACGTTTGACGACGTAGATTGGGTGTCCTATCCGGAATCCCAAGGTGGGATAAGCTCCATACGTTGTCTTATGGAAACCCTTCCCAAACTTTCGTTATGTTCTCGAATCTGAGTCGAAATTGCACATGCCAAAACCATTTTTGCTCATTTTCGCGCGTCTGAGGCATCTTCAACCTGGATCCATTATGCTTCTGGGAGCTATCAATTTTGCAGGACCACGCAACTGTTCTCACTCGAGAAATACCCACATGGATTCTAAGATGGGCCATGGCACCACTTGCGTGAGCCCCTGGTGGCAGCTCAAATGAACTTGGAAAATAGAAGGTCAGCTCCGGCGGCCTGCAATCAACGGCTAAGGCTCGTGGCGGCTCACCTGGTGCCGATGCTGATTTCTTTTTTTCCGCCGGCCTGCACTTGAGATCCAGCGGTTCCCGCTGTGGCAGCTGCACCGGCGCTTTGAAGTCGTCATAGAGGTCGTCCTCGTCCTCCGAGTCTCCATCGTCCTCTCCCACATACTTCCTGTGCAGGACACCCTCGTCCTGCGCCTTCAGGTCACCGAGCAGCGTATCATAGTTGCTGCTCAGTTGCTCTCGCAACCGGAATGTCTTGGGCATCGTGCACTTTCAGCGATCGTCACGCAGCAGCAGCAGCAGCATCCGCCGGCCGGCCGCCCGCCGCGCGCAGGACTCCCCAGCGTCTCGCGCACCGAACTGCGGCAGTCGCGCGGGCGCCGCTTCTGCGGCGGGCGGGCGTAGCCGCGGGCGTTCGGAGTCCGCCTGGTCCAGGGAAGACTGCGCATGCGCAGACTGAGCGGTGCCCGCCGTTGCAATGCAGTGTAAAAATTCTCAGCAGGTTGCACGTGCGCGGCGCGGCGGAGCCGCTGGCATTGCAAGTTCGCTATCGGCCAACATGGGCAGATCTGCAGGGACAAGCGGTGCTGGACTCCGTTCATGGCCCGCCAACCGTGCTGATTGCATAGTCGCATAAGGCTGTGATAACTTTGCCACAGAGCATCCTAAACGAATTCCGCCGGCCTGGTAGGGCTACATGAGCTTCTGTTGTCTATTCCAATTCCTAGTTTGTATTTCGTGCGTAGAAACTAGACCCATAGCTTCTTCAAGGACGGGGTCAGTATTTTGACTATTAACACGCGCTTGGGTGGGGTTAGGGTCAAGTTGATCCCCGAAGGTTTTTCCAGGATGGTTTCCGGACGGCGCGGCGTAGCGGCGCCAAATTTTGCATAGTTGTGGACAATTAAATACCGGATCGTTTGGTGCAAACAATTTAGATGCACCTTGTAAGGTCGCTGACCTGTGGCAGGTCAAAATCAGGTCATGGTTTTAGCGAAGTCAATTTCTGGGGAATCGTTCAACTTGATGCAACAACGGAGTGTTAGACGAAGCCATATATCTCTGAAATGCTTTCTTAGACAACACAACAATTGAATGAGCAAATAATTTTGACCTAAGGTCAGGCATGAAGGTCAGACTAAGGTCAAAAACAACCTGTTTTATTATTCTACGACTTGCTGTATGGGATAGTTTTTGGTGCTCATTTTGTATCTATTGATAGCAGGAACCGCATTCTACACCTTCCATGGACTTCTTAGCGGTCCGAAAAGGTCATTGATCTGAAATGATCCAGGTCAACATTTGGTTTTAGGAGTACACTGTCTAGCGTAAACTTTGACGCTTATTCAAATACAAAACTTAGAGCAGTCTTGTATGATTTTGGTCACCATGACCTTCAAAGGTTAAACCAGGTCACTGACCTTAAAGGAGGTTGTGACCTTTTGTTTAGAAACAGTATCTAGGTTCTTGGGGTACTTAAGAGACCAACCTGGACTTTGACTTTGTTTGACCTTATTTGACTCTAAGGCCATGACCTAGGAATCTTAAACTTTGACCGAAATGAGTTCACGTACAGGTCAACATATGCTGTAAATTTGGTGCATCTAGCTCCCATAGTTCTCGAGATATCAGGGGGGTCAAATTGACCCCCACCCGAGCAAAGGGTATCCAGTCGGCCACCTGGGTGCGTGATAACATGCGCTCGAGTGGGCGGGGGTCAACTTGACCTTCCTGAATACTTTTTCCAGAATCGTTTCCGAACGATACAAAGTAGCCTCGCTGGATTTCGCATATTAGTGGAGAACTGAATAATTAACATTTTGATGTAAAGGATGAGATGTACCTTGTAAGGTCGCTGACCTACGGCAGGTCGAAGTCAGACCATGGCTGTCAGCGAAGGGCTTTTCTTGGGAATCGTCCTATGCGATGTAGCAACCGTGTGTTAGACGAAGGCATACAGGCCTGAAATAGTTTTTTAGGCGAAAGACAAATTGATGTTAGAATTACAACCACTGCCATTGACTTCGGGTGGGGTATGAAGACCAGAAGGAGGCCAAACTGTTTTTTTTTACTCGGGAGCTCAGTTTAATGGGTATTTTCTGCCGCTCATTTCGAGTTAATTAATGACAGGGACTGCAACAGACATGTACCATGGACTCCATAAAGATCAGTGGTCACTGACCTAAGATGACCCGGGGCACCATTTCATTTTTGGGATTATATCACTTACCGTAATCCCTGATGCTTGTTTGAATGGCAAAGTGGGAGCAGCCTCGTAGATGTTTGGTCACCTTAACCTTACAAAAGTTAGGTAAGGTCACTGACCTCATTGACCTCTTGCTTAGAACAGGTATCTAACTTCACGGCGGTTGAATGAGGAGGCCTGGTGGCACATGGGATACCAATCTGCATTGAGCCTTGTTTGACCCTATTTGACACCAAGATCATGACCTAGGGACCTCAAATTTTGACACAAGTTAGGTCACGTGCAGGTTAATCTCCTCTGTGAATTTGGTGTCTCTAGATGTCTTCATTTTCGAGGTATCAGGAGGGGATCAGACTGAACCCCATCCACCCGAGCACGGGGTATTCAGCCGGCCATCCCGACGCGTGTTTAAAAATCTGCGTCAGTCTGCGTGTTCTCTTTAACCAAGTGTTCAGTAATGTTTATACGCTTGCTTTGGTTGCGCATCCTTGATAGCGTGATCTGTCGATCCTGCGCTCGGGATTTTTGGTGCCTTTTTGTCTGGACTAATGCGGGTCTGTCACGTGACACCGAAACAGGGCTGTCGCAAAACCGAAAAAGAGTAGATCCCCTAAGCTGGGGTGAATGGAAGATGTTAAAGGGAGTGCCCCACATTTGTATGGGGATTTCGAGCTGAAAAAGTCATCTTGGAGAGTACTCGGTGCAGTTTACAGCTCTGCCCTTCTTAAGACCTAACCCCTATGGGTTTCCGAGCTACACGCCCGCAAAGATGTGCAAACTATTTCGAGGAGACTATTTCAATGTCACGCAGGCATCCATGGGATCATAGTAGCGTCATTCAAATCCTGTCATTCCATCAGCCATGCAGCGATCAAAGCCAATGAACATATAATTCTCGAGTCGCTCATATTTGGCCTTCGTGAGCAGGATTTCCAACCATAACGGCCGTTAATTGGCTCCCAATCACTGTTCTGTTAGGTGCAATGACGTAATAAAACAGTGACATATAGAGGAGCATATTTACTAAAAAAAAATGTTTTGCCTACAGCAGTCTTTTCCACTTAAAAGTATAACAATAATAATATGTGAGCTTATCTAACCAAAGCTTATATTAACTTTAATATCTTCAAAGTGGAGCATTTTTTAACAACAGACGGACAGTCGCCTTCAATGTAGGTGCGAGGAGCTCCAAAACCGCGCAGAGCTCAGCCTGAGGCAAAGCTGTTTCGAAGCTTAGACAAAGAGAGAGAAAGAGAGAGAGAGAGAGAGAGAGGAGAGAGAGAGAGAGAGAGAGGGGGGTGGGGGGGAGGGAGAGGGAGAGAGAGGGGGGGAGGGAGAGGGAGAGAGGGAGGGAGAGAAACCGACGAACCTAGACAGAGGGTCACCACCAGGCCTGCAAGACGGGTGATATTCTTCGCAGGGGCGTAGTTTCGTAACATGTGCTGTGGGGGATAAGCAGGAAAAAAATATGTTAAGCCTAGGACCAAAGTGCGCCCAAAATACCATGTCGGCACCAACTTTGACGCTCTTTCCTCTCAAAGCTCGGAGCTTTGCAATAGGACCTTCTTTGCCTTCGCGATCTCGGCCAGGATCCTTTTAGCTCCCTTTCCGTAAGCTGACCTCCGGTCAGGTTTCGAGGCCTCCCATCGGAATTAGCTTCTCCACGTGGTATGTAATCAGGTTTCGTGATGGCATTTTGTGTTTTGATTTAAGCTGCTCTCTGACTTCCTTTGAGCCTTAATGTCTGACTTTGTGCTGTCACGACTCTGTCTGAAAGTGCTTTTTCACCATATGTTTATCTTCTTGTCTTCTGTGAAAGAATATGATCTTATGTGAGTAGAGTAAGGCGGGAAACAAAATAACAATAAGCGAATTCTTATGCAATATTGTGTTGGTTCTGTTGTCGCTCCCTATATGAGGACCGTTATTCAAGAAGAAAATCGTCCGTTTCTAGAATTTCGTCACATGTTAGTAGAAAGGTAATAAAAAGATACGTTAGGCACTACCATGAACTATTTCTGTTCGCATCACGTAGACAGTATGGCATCAAATCACTCTGTAGAAAGCACGTGGTGGCATCAACCTGCATTTTGTAATGTAAGTTCTATCGGAAATTATTTATGCGAATAATGCCACTAAAAGGGCTGCCACCTTTGAATCTCTTCACCTCGATTTCGCTGCTTTTGGAACCAATTCAATCTTTGTGTAAAACATTGCCCAGCGTAATTTTGAGCAGAATGCTGAAATGCTGAGTCCTAGTGAAACGCACAAAGGACTACTGAATTGGCAGCCCCTGAAGCCAAATTTCAGCTGATGAGCTTGTTGTTTGATCTGGCCTACAAGGACACATTCTAACAAAACTGAAACCAGACTTGAACAAAAAATTTAGCAAAAGTTCTTTTTTGAGCGGCAAAGTTGTCATGACCACCCACTAGTGCGCAAAAGCCTGGCCTTGTGTAATATACACCTTGTTCTATAATATGTGCTGTGTTCAAGAAATAATGTGTTAACCAACATTGGAGACGACCCACTCAACACTTGTGGGCAGGGCCCTCATGCAAGCACACAAATTGCCACCTTACACGCCGAAAAAGGGAAACGATAGAACCCAAATGCTGCTTTTTCAAGTCACAAGACGGCATTCGGTGCACAGCTGTCGGCCCTTTTCACCCACGAAGCTGCCTTCCATAAGAAATTACGTCCTGGAGGATACACTGCAGCCTCAAGAAGAGAGTATGTGGCCGAAACTGGCGATATTTGGATGTAAATACAGCATGTTGCACGAATATTTTTCGCGGACGCAGACCCGACAGAGAAATGTTATATTCATCGAAGACCACAGCTTGCTGTAGTATGCATTGAAAAGCAGGGAAGCCTGCAACAATCCCGCCATGTTCTTCAGAACTGATTTCACCACTCGATATGCATGCAGTCACTGTCAGCACCGTTACGAATGCTCCTCCGCCGTGTTACTGGCCGGCAGACTGCTTTGCGAGCATGCACGTTTGGCGTGCTGGTGGCGGCGCCGAGCTAGATAGCCTAGTTTACATTCTGTGTG